GGACCAGGGTCTCACTTACTAGAGGGAATACGGGCGTGTTACTCCCATCCAGATATGGACCAGGGTCTCACTTACTAGAGGGAATACGGGCGTGTTACTCCCACCAGATATGGACCAGGGTCTCACTTATTAGAGGGAATACAGGCACGTTACTCTCATCCAGATACGGACCAGGGTCTCACTAGAGGAAATACGGGAATGTTACTCTCATCCAGATACGGACCAGGGTCTCACTTACTAGAGGAAATACGGGAATGTTACTCTCATCCAGATACAGACCAGGGTCTCACTTACTAGAGGGAATATGGGCGTGTTACTCCCACCAGATATGGACCAGGGTCTCACTTACTAGAGGGAATACGGGCGTGTTACTCTCATCCAGATAAGGACCAGGGTCTCACTTATTAGAGGGAATACGGGCGTGTTGCTCCCATCCAGATAAGGACCAGGGTCTCACTTATTAGAGGGAATATGGGTGTGCGCTGGGAAGACACCAAGCACCTGGGAGTTGAGCTGCACCACGGGGTGTGACCTTGAAGGAGACTGTCTGTCCCTCCTGTCCATGGGGAGAGCCTGGCCACCACCCAGAACCCCAGCTTGGGCACCCMGCAAGGCTCCAGGATTCTGCCTGCACCCTCTCCTGGGGACTGCGATACGGCTGGGGGGTCTCCCCACCACCAGCCCCCGCCCGTCCTGCATACACCCCCAGGGCAGCARGGGATCCTCCTACAGTGACTGGACTGGGGTGAGAGCCACAGGGCCCCAAATCGAAGGGGCATGTGCTCCCAGGCTGTGCAAGTTGAAGGTGCTTTTCACCTACAAGAACCCTCCTGTGTCTACCTGCCCAAGCCCCCCCCCCCATGGCTTACAGAATAAAAGTGAACTCCCTGCAGGGCCTGGGGAACRTCTCCCCACCCGTGCTGCTCTCTAGCACACCGGCTTCTCATTTCCACCCCAGGGCCTTTGCACTCCCCGCTTTCATAGAACTGTTAAGGGTTTCGTAGGGTTTGCATGATGGACTCAGTCTCCTCTGCCAAGTTAAGAGACTCATGTCAGCTCCTTGGACAGGCCCGTCTAAGGCGGTGCCCTGTCCCAGGCTCTCTCTGTATTTATCATCCATTTATTTCCCTCAATCACCCCCCGGAGGGGCAGCCCCATGAGGGCAGAGATGGTCTGTGGTGGTCCCCGGCCCCGGCCCCTGTGTAGTGCCTGCCACAATTCTGCTGGAGTCCTGTGGGTTCTGCAGCTGCGGTGGCTGCTGAGCTGGGCAGGGCCACCCAGGAGCTGGGCCTCTGAGGCTCAGGGGCCGGTCACGGTCACCCTGCCCCACCACCCTCCAGCCAGCCACTCTGGGTCCCCGGGCAGGGCTCTCTCGGGACGGCCCCAGGCAGGGTCCAGGGCTGGGCACTTTGCCCTCCTGTAACGGCCACCTGCTCCGTCCTGACACGCAGAGCTGGGGACTTGGACGGCAGAATCYGACCTGAGCCAGGGTTCCTGGTGGGGGGACGAACTCCGGCCTCAGCCTCCTCACCTGCTGAAAGCCGGGTCTCTGCCAGCCGAGCCCTGCAGGACGGTCTGTGGGGGCCTGTTCTGTGCCACCTCGTATGATGGCGGAGAGCATGTGCCCTGCTGGGGACTCTGGCTAGGAACTCAACACCTCTGTGCCTCAGTTTCCTCATCAGCAAACTGGGTGTGAAGGATGAGACCCGTCCCTCGCTGCWGAGGCTGGACGGCACAGGGAGGGTCAGCATAGTGTCACCAGGCCGCGTGGCCACCCTGCAGCCTCCCTAGGTCCAGGACCCCCGCTACAGGTGCTACTGTCCCCACTTCACCAGAAAACGAGGCTCCTCACGGCCCCACCAGCKCCCACAGGGAGTCTGCACCGGTCCCCCGACTGCCCGGCGCCAGCTCCCCCCAGACCCCCCAGCTCCTCGCATCAGACGGCGCAGGGCCATCCCCGGGCCCTCGGTGGGAACGTCCCCAGTCACCTCTTCAGATGGCCTCATTTTAAACTAAAACTAGGAGACACATTTCTGAAGGAGGACTGTGTCCAGGCACCAGTGGAGACGACGTCCCTTCCCCGCAGAGCCGCTCCACACCGCGGAGCAGGGCGCAGGGAGGCCCCGCCAAGCCCCTGAGCGCGATTCCTGCCCGGGCTCCTGGGGGGCTYAGCGCATCGAAGGGTCCATGTTCGCAGGGCCCCAGGCCCGCTCCGCCCTGGCCCTGCCCCGAGCACYTCGCAGGTGCCACCCGCGTAACCCGCGCAGCCACTCATGGCTCTTGTGCCCGCGGTGCGGATGGCAAAGCCAGCTCAGGGAGGCAAGGCCACTTTCCAAGGTCACGTGGAGAGAAGAGCCCGAACCCAGTGGCTGGACAGTCCCCCTGGAGGCAGCCCCGCCAGCAGGTCCCGAGAGCCAGCCTCCGCCTCCGCAGCGAGGCCGTAAGGGGGTGCAGGGGGGGGGGGGGCTCCTGGCCTGGGGGCTGGGTCCAGGACAAGGTCCGCTGGACTCTGGTCATGCCCCTTGGTCTTGGAGCCCCTCCTCCCGGGTGGGGGACCTCCCAGCCGAGCCCCTTCCTCCTGGATGGAGGCTGCGGAGAACGGGCTGATTTCTCCCTCGGCGCCCGTCCCGTYCCGGGTCCATCCCTGGCGAACCCCGGCTCGGCCCCCCCTGGCCTCTGCCAAAGAAACCAACTGAAGGTGACACGAGGCTTCCGCCTCCGTTTCCCTTCTTGGTAAAACACTCCAAGAAGCTGAACCTGCGGGGTCTCTGGCCACCCCACGGCCCCCTGACCGCAGGCCTCCAGCCCACAGCCGCCGCCGCTCACCCAGGCTCCTTGCCAARGCCCCCTGGTCCCCTCTGTCCAGCCAGCAGCACAGCTCGGGGGACACCCACCGTCCTGGCGTCCAGACAGCCCCTGCCTCTGGATCCACCTGCCCGCCTGCAGGGCGCGACCTCAGGTGCCCCCCACTGTGGGGAGATGCCCGGCCATCCAGGCCCCTGGGGGACCCAGTGGTTGTGTCCTCGGAGACCCCCAAGTCCAACGAGAGGAGCGGAGGGGGGCTGGGATGGATCGGGGACATGGCCGGAGGTGGGGGGCCCCGGGGTGTGCAGAGGTGCCCTGGGAGCGGGGCCAGGGCCTCCCAGGTGCCCCCCTGGCCTGGCCCACCTGTGGCTCCTTCCCTCTTGTACTCTGGGGACGTGCAGCCAGGGCCTCCCGCCTGTGAGCACAGCACAGGGGGCAGGATGACCCCCRGGTGGTCACCACAGTCTCCTTAGGTTCCTTCCTCCACCTCGGCTCTCACCCAGCCAGAGGATCCTGAACACATCAGTGGGGCCTCCGCCCGCAGCCAGGTCCCTCCACCATCTGCCCCACCACCGCCGGCTTCACCCCCTCCCTCTCTCCTTGGTTCCAGCCACAGGGCCTCTGTGGAGCCGGGCCAGCCCTACCCCAGGACTCTGCGTGCTCTTCCCTCCGCCTGCAGCC